CATGGAAATCCTAAAAGAGAGGATATACTTTTTTAATGAATAAACTAGAAATTCTATATTTGGTGATCTGTAGGCTTCCCCACATTACCCAGAGAACCTCTATGATGGCCAAGAGCCATGAACAAAATATATTTGGGAACATGCTTTACAAATCTGTTCCTCTTCTTCCCCTCCAGTGTGGTGTTATTGAGTGCATTCCTGACTGCACATCCCGTGACCAGCTGGGCAGGCAGACAGACTTTGGGATGTATGATTATTTTACAAGGCAATACGGAGACGAGTCTACCCTTGCATTCCAGAAGGTAAAATATCAGTGGGCAAACACAGCAAAATATCAGCTGAAAAATATTCTACCTATAAGAAATAATGACAAATAATTGCATAATGACTGCTATAATGCTGTATCTAGTTTCTGATGCTGATAATCCATTTTAAGATATTAGTGAGTTAGTTAAAGTACTTGCAGCTATAGATGCATGGAGAATGTCATTGCACTTTGCTTCAAACTAATCATGAATGGAAAAAAAGAAAAAAGCTTTGTTCATCTGTCTCTTCTCCTGATGGAGAGTTAATAAATTCTAATAATTTCTGTAAGTTGTTCTTATTTGTTTTAACTTGTTGTTTGTACAGGCTCGCTATAATTTCATCCGCAGTATGGCTGCCTATAGTCTGCTGCTGTTCCTGCTCCAGATTAAAGACAGGCACAATGGCAACATCATGCTGGACAAACAGGGACACATCATTCATATTGGTCAGTCATATGCATCTCTGAATATCAGTTACTGCCTTTGCTTTGTGCTCTTAAGTATTGCTGATAACAGACAATAAGCCATTTCCCCTTTGAGATCCATCTCTATACTGATTTCACTGTTCATAAACACATATGGAAGCTTTTTGTGCCTTTTAAGTGTTGTGTGTTGGCTGCTTCTGTGTAAATTTAGCTCTGCAAAGTCCTGTCAGGTTCAGGAAAGTATATACACACATATGTATGGATGACACATGTTTATGTACTCATGCATGGATACATGTGTGTATGTGTGTAATTATAGAAATATGTCTTTGCATTCTTTTCATCACTGCAAGGGTGTGAATTGAACTTGACAAGTAAATTTATATAATTGTGTGAGGCTGTAATCTCTGCTTTAGCTTTTCTTTTCTGGAACTGCACAAATATTTCAGCAGCTCATTTGATATCACCATTCTTACATCTATTCTTATGGTGATGATGCTTTTGTCACTATTTTGTCACTATTTTTACACTTCACTAAAGCTTTTTTCCAGTTGAAGTTAAAATGGTTATAATTAATACATGAAATCTACCTCTCTTGCTTCTGTCACCTTTAACAGCACACAATTAACCAACAAAGTTTATGAAGCAGTTTACCTTTTGTGCACAGATTTTGGATTCATGTTTGAAAGCTCACCTGGTGGAAACCTGGGCTGGGAGCCTGACATTAAACTGACTGATGAAATGGTGATGATAATGGGAGGGAAAATGGAGGCAACACCATTCAAATGGTTTATGGAGATGTGTGTCAGAGGCTATCTGGCAGTCAGGTAAGTTCTTCTTAGCTGCTCACAGTGAGAATTCTTGCATGCCCAAAGACAGATGAGAGGATAAATAATAAGAAATGTTGATTTGTTGGGAGTCTGAGCCTGTTAATTGTCCTGGTATATCTTGCAAACTTTGAAACAATGTAATAAGCCTGCTATTTTACTTTGTGCTATTTTTTCTGACTTTATGTTAAATTTTATATATTCAATTTATAAATACGACGTTTCACACATTTCCTCACACAATTTAGTGCACTGTTAATACAACAAGAAATTACTGTCTTGTTGTCAAGATCGTTTTGTTTCCTTGAGGGGGTAAATAGTCTGGACAAAGTTCTTGTGGCAAAGTAAATGTGTCACTCAAGTAGCAGAGTAATAGCCTGGTAGATAATAAATGTACTGAGCAAGAGGACAGGAAGGAAAAGGGAAGCTGGGCTGATGTAGCAAAGAATTACACAGAGTAATTAAGATTAAAAGATAGTATGTTCCTGTGGTATTGCTGGTTTCAGCCTTCTGTACTGTTTTGGTGCACTGCTTCACCTTTCTGATGCCAAAGAAGTGTTGTTTGCTAAAGCATTACTTTGCATAATCCTTCTTGAGACTTGATCTTGCAGCATCAGTCCAGCATAAAGGAGTGACATTTAATTAAAGTGACAGATTGCAAGCAATGGTGTAGCTTCACCAGCAAATGTAAGAGGATTATCTATGTTGATTTAATTAAAGAAAAAGGTGGGATCCAGCTCATTGAACTCCTCATTTTGTCTGCTTTACCTGCTAAGGCTGCAGGAGTTTGAGTGTTAAGATGTTTTTGTCCTGTTTTTCTCTAGGCCTTACATGGATGCTGTGGTCTCACTGGTTACCCTGATGTTGGATACAGGGCTGCCCTGTTTCCGAGGGCAGACAATCAAGCTGTTGAAGTAAGTTAGCAATGAGTGTGAACTGGAAAATGTTTTTTATTAAAATGTTATGTCATTTATACCAAGTGGTTTCACAAGAAGTAGATACTTGCAGCAAGTGAAATCATACCTGGTTGAGCTTGTCCAAAGACACATTTGTATCGTGTTCAAAAGAAACCTCACTAGTTTTCTCTTATTTGATTGTGATTTTCTGCATATAGACACAGGTTCAGCCCCAACATGACTGAAAGGGAGGCTGCGACTTTCATCATCAAGATCATCCAGAACTGTTTCCTCAGCAACAGGTTTGGCTTCTATGCATGTCTTCTCCCTATGGCTAAAGGAAAGCCATCAGGCTTTGAGCAGAGCTGAAAAGTAGAGTTTTATCAGTCAGTTCCCAAAAATTTTTAAGTTGTTGATACTCTGATAGTGCAGGATAGCAGCTTTGTTTCTGAATGTGCTGCATCTCCTCCATTTTGTGCTGGGAAGGAAGATATATGTCCAAGATGGTCAAATAGCAAGGCTGGTTAGCCTAAAGAATAAATGTAATAGTTATGTTTTATTATGCTAGATAATACAGACTTTGTGGATATGTTGGAGAGTCTAGTACAACCTTTTGTGCTTGAGGTCAGCTTGAGACCAGTACCTCTCACTGGCTCAGATACATCCCCACTAGAATGGGTGTTCAGTGCTTGCTAGTACCCCTGCTCAGAATTAATAATCTGAGATTAATAATGGGGCATTGAAGGCAGTGACACTGCTGTGTGAATGGCCAGAACCAGCTTAGTTCTGACAAGCTTGAGTTTTTCTACCTATGGCATGGTTAATCTGTGACCTGAAAAAGTTCTGCCCATGTATAATTGAGTTATCTGTAACAAGCTAAGATTTGTTTGTTCAGTCACTCATCAGAGATGCTGCTGTTAATGCTGTTATTTTCCCTGCACTTTTATTTTCATTATTAGCATTATCCTTAATTAAGATGACTTTTATTTCCACATAATCCTGTCTCCATGCAGCCCTGCTGATCTTGATTCATCCATTATGCATTTCCTTCTCCTAAAACAAACTGCAAATGCCACGTGATATGCTTGTGGCTCATCCAAACATAAGATCTGTTTGGATCTGCTGATGCAGATGCTGCTGATGCTGTTGCCACACTGAGAAGCGTGGAAATACTTTTTTAAACTAGTTTAAACAAGAGGAGGATGTTTTGTGCTGTCCATAACAGTAACTGGACCTTCACAATGCCTTCAAAGAATGGAGGGCTAGCTTTAATTAGCAGCTGATTTCCTTCACCCATGTTTTGTCTCTGTGGGATCTTGATGAATGTTTCTTGACAATGAGTGCAGTGTTTTTTTAAACTTTTACTTACCTCTGGCTTTGCTTTTCTTCTCTAGGAGTAGAACATATGACATGATCCAGTATTACCAGAATGACATCCCCTACTAGATGTTAGAGATACACTGCCGAAGTGAAATGTGCAACCCCATGCCCTCACTCCAAACTTGTGACAAACCGGAGATGCTCTGTCACACCTTGCTATCTTCTACCCTCTGTGTATGTGTGTGTACATGTTGGGTACATGTTTCCTGGACATTGTTCTGATTCATTCCTTCCTCTATACCAGGTTATATATATATATCACTGTTTTCCCCTGGATTCTTGGAGTTGGGTTGCAATCACAATAAAAAATGTACTATGATTATAAATGTGTGAAAGTGGTAAAGCTTAAGGAGTTCAACAATTTTTCATGCAATGCAAGGATTTTATAATATCTTTAAAAAGTAAATTAAACCCTTTCCTGTACAATCACACAAAATGCCATGGAAGGGAAGGGTGTGGATTTCTCTTTGGAAACAGAAATGTTAACTTGTTCCAATTTTACTGTAGAAAAAGCTTGATAATCATCCAAGGTGGTGATGTCTGTGTAGCTGTGTTCATACTTTGCACTGTACATGGTCCCTGCTACATGGTCAGTATTTCATATGTACATGAAGAATGTATTTTTTCCTTTTGTGTGTTTTAAAAAGAGACTCTACTGAAGATATATTTAATCTATAAAATGTAATAAAAGACCTTAGACTTCGTGTCTGTTGCAAATGTTTTGCCCTGCTCTGTTTTTAGTGTATATACATCATTCTGCACATTTGTGTACTGTTCATTTTATTATGCCCTTTCTAATAGAGAAATCTAATTTCTTCTTCAGCTGCTTGTCCATCTCAAGTGACATTTTTTATTCGTAAAATAAATGTTTAGGGCAAGAACTGGAATTTAGGACCAAGGTAAAGCTCCCCAGTGTTGCTGACTAAGGACCTCTGTCCTGAGCTGGAACAAAGGCCTTTTGGGGTTTTTTTACATGCTTATCCTTCAACATGGGCTCTTCAACACAGGGGCTGTCCCGTCTTTAGGGGATTTTTTTTCCCCTTTTAGGGGGATTTTTCCCTTTTTGGGAGCTATTCCCGAGTGTCCGGGTCGTGTCCTCAGGGACGGAAGGGGGTGCCAGGCCTGGGCAGGGCCCCGGGGCGCCCCCTGGCGGTCCCCCCGCGCTGCGGCGAGCGCGCGCCCTGGCGTGAGGGGCTGGGCCCGGCCTCACCCTGAGGGACACGCAGCCCTGAGGGGCGAGGGGACGCGGGCTATCACAGGCCAAAGGGTGGAGGCGTCGTGAGGGAGAACCAGCCCTGGTCGGTGAAGGGGACATACCATCCCGAAGCACAACGGATGAGTGGAACACGGGACAGCGCCTCGAGGAGGGCTCAGCGCTGACGAGCGGAGGTGTCGTGAGGGAGACCCAGCCCTGGGGCAGGGCCTTGCCGTGAGCTGGGCCCGGCCCTGAGGGAGGGCTCTTTCATGGGGTGGGCGCAGCCGTGAGGTGCGGTTCTGTGGTGTGAGGAACGCCCAGCTCCATCCACCCGAGGGCCGTGCCTTCTGCGAGGCAGCTGTGACCCCGAGGGGCATGGTTTGGGGCTGTAGCTGACCAGGCCGGGAGCTTCCTCAGAAGCCTGCGGCAGGTCAGGGTGGTGTCTATCTGAGGGGATAGTAGGCCGATGATATGACTGTGCCCACACCTTCCCCTTGGCAGTGTGCATTTCTGAGCACCTCTGAGTCGGCTAAGTCTCCTGGTGTGTCCCTGGAGCCCAGGCAGCAGGAGCTGCTCAGGGGGACCTCCTCAGCCCGAAACCAGAGTGACTGAGAAGGTCCCTGCAGAGGAGGGAGCTGCACTGAGCTCACAGCTCAGGGAGCCTGAGAGGGGGCAGCCAGGGCAGCGTGTTTGGTTCTGCCTTCATGGTGCAGTGGAAAGCCTGTTCTTTCTTCAGTGTGGGTAGCATTCAGAATTTACACCTGCTTTTGCCATGGGTGTTAAAAGTCTCTTACCTGTTCAGTGGATGTCTCACGGTGAAGTGGATTCTGAGCCCTTTTTCTCATGGAGAGGTTCCACTGGCTTTCTAAAAACGTTTGGAGGCTCATCTGGGGGAAGTAGCATGCAAGAACTGCTTTAATTATTGATTTAATTCAGATTTATTATATAGCCAACTGGGACATAGAGTAATTTTGGTGCTCTATGCCTGTGGCTAGTTGAACCTATTTAGATTCCATAGGAAAGGAGCTGATTGACACTACAAATATGGTAAACTTCCTCACACCTTTCCTTTAACGAGGAGCAGGTGGAGTGAGGAGATGTGAAGCTCCCCTTCTTCTCAGGGGAGATGGCGAGGAGTTCTAATATTTTGTTAATTCAAGTTAATGCTTGTGTGCATGTACTTTCCTGCACCTCAAAATAAATGTACCATGTTAAAAATATCTAGGGCTAGAAGTGAGGAATTATCTGGTGAATAATAATATTAGAAATCATAAATGGAGCTCTGGTAATCAGAAAGTCACTCCTAGCTGCAAATTTCAAACCATGCAGCAATTTGTGTGTATTCTAGCATAGGATGCCCAGAATTTTCTGGAATGCAATTAAGGCCTTACAGGGTTTTGTATTGGGAAGTGAATGAGTTTGAGTGTTCTTCACAGTGCTTGCTTCAAGTCAGGCTGTCTGGAGAGCTGATGTGGTCTTAGTTTCTTCTCTCAAGTTTGTTCAGAGAAATTAAAGCAGCTGAAGTCAATTGCATGTAGTTACTGTAAGAACATTCTTGCTTGCAGTATGATCCTAAAAACTCAAATGGCTGCATTTGAGATATCATGGATGCATAATTTTGTACTGCTACGTATCTTGCAGAATGTTGTGAGTGTGTTAAATCTCCATGTTAGTAGAAATTATGCTCTTGTAACTTCTGTTCTCACTGCAGTGTCAGGTGAGCTCTGGTGTGTGCCAGAGCTTGCCTGACATCCATAGATTTTATTTTCTCAAGTTGGCCATGCCTTCTTCCCTTCCCCTCCCATCAGGGTTCCTTCCTGCAGCACAGATGTGGGACAAAACTCCCCTGTAATTGAGTGTCCACTGAGATACGGATGAGATCAGGCTGTTTACATTTAATCATGCAAGGCAGTACCCTGAAGATTCCTCCTAAATGGGTTGTGTACTGTATCTTCCTGCAGGGAGATTGAGGAGGCGAGAATACTGAGATGCCCCACAATATTGCAGGTGCTTCCGAGATACTGAATTAGTGCAGCTGGAGACACCACAGACTTTTCTCACCTTCATCCTCCCACCAGGGAAGGATATGTTCTTGACACAAGGAGGCTGGCAGGCCTTTCAGAAGTTACTCAGGTAATTAAAACAGATAGAATTAAGACCTACATGAAGGTATTGTGAAGGATTTTGTCTCTGAACTTTATGCTAAAATATGTTGTGATGCCTGTGCAGCCTTGGGAGAAAAGACACGTAAAAAAAAATGGGGAAAAATGCTCATTAAAAAAAAAAAAATCTAAGAAAAGATACTCCTATGGTTCATCCACTCTCAGAAAGGCCCAGTCAATGATGAGAGACAGACTTCCTGAGCCAATATACCCACTGCAGCTCTTTCTGCATTGGCCATGGATATAAAGAGCATTTAAAAAAGGAGCAAAATTTATAGTGCTTCATTTGCATCTGATGGACCCCGGGTTCAGAGCTGCTGGTAACTTGATCAGCACTATTCAAATGCTAATCTCATTATGTGTGTTAGAGACTGAAGCTCAGCAATCCACCTCCGTTAGCACAACGGGCCTGTGTGATGTTCTGGCTGGTACGCAGGGTCACGGTACCCCCTGCAGGCACCCAGCACATGCTGCAGAACATCGGGGCTGATGTGGCCAGGGAATGGGAGCTCGGTGGAGAAGCCAAGGGAATGAGTCAACAAGGGAAGAGGAGCTAGACTTCTCTTTGGAAAAATGCTGAAGAGGGGGGAAGGGATTGTGGCCAACGGAATGGTTTGGATGAGACTTTTTTTTTTCCTTTATATCATAAATATGTCTATCCCTTTGCTTACACATGAATGCTATTAAAAAAGGAAAAAAGNGGTAGTAAACAAGACTTTGTCCTGAATGTACATACAGCTTTAAGCACACCTCATTATTTGACTTACTGAAAAATATTGCACCTGTGCTGTTTGGTGTTAAGACCTGTCAGTTTTGCTTGTGCCATGTAACAAGGACTGAAATCTGCTCAAAAGACAGCATGCACAAGGGATCCTTTCTAGATAAAGGCTCTCTGATAGAACTTTTTTATTGACGTGCAAAGGATCTCCACCTCACACTGTTACCTACAGCTTGTGAGTTGGTTTGTTTGGTGCCTCATCTGTTTCTGCAAGGATTCTGCATTTGGGAGGCCACAGGGGTTACACTCCTGAAGAAACAAGATTTCTAAGGTGACATGGTGTAATTATTAGATAAGCTACTTAGCTGGGAGGAGCAGATGAACCCTGGTAAGGTGCAGCCCTGGCACCAGCTGGTTTAGTAACTAGCACAGCCTCCACAGAAGGAGTGGGTTTCATCTGGGCCCTTGCCACTGCAGCAGCCCGGTGTCTAAAGCTTTGTAGTTACAGGTGACACCTTTGTGTTTATTTCTGGTGCAATATCAGTGGCCTAATAGCAGTGATATGTTGCTGTGAATCACGTTGCTCTAACACAGTCCTCTCCAGGGGCAACACAGCCTTGGGGAGCCTCAGTGCTTACTGTGGCAGTGAGAAACTGTGACCAGGTTTGTCTTAAGTTTTATGAATGTTCCAGGTGGCTCTGCTGTCTGACAGGGGAGAGCAATACAAGAGGATGACACAGTGACACAGATAAGTAATCACACAGGCAAACAACAAAGGCTGGCAGTTCACTGAAGGGAGAGGCTATCTACCTGGCTGCATTCAGGTATCTCTTCCCAAGGAAAGCACGGCAACCAAAATAGGAAGGGAATTGTGTGTTGTTATTGTAAGTGCCCACACAAAGACTGCTACATACCCTGATGCTCCACATACACCTTTTGGAATTAAAAACCCTTCAACAGGCAGAGCTAGGATTGTGTCTTAGTCTGTTCTTAGGCAAGTAGTCCCAGCTTTGCAGTGACATTCCTGACGAAATAAATTGTGCTTTGCTGTCAGGGAGGAGAAAATGTCTGAATTGTAGCAAGTCTAAGAGACAATTCTAGCTGCATGTATTGATTAGGAGTGAACGTGTAGGTTGGTAACTTCTATCCAGATGTAAGAAGGGAAGAGTCATGGAATTCTATCCTTGTAGAGCTATAGGAGCAGTATTTCACAGAAGACTATAACTCTGGATAACAAAAGTGATAAAATCATGTATTACTCTCATATAGTTGTCTTCCCCAGTGCAAGCTACATTTTGACTGCCACATCTCAAATTTTTTAAGATGCTTGCTGTTAGCTCACATGTGAAGGCTGTATGTGTGCATCCTGGCATGCACTCCAGCAAACCATTCCCCTGCTGAGAACTTCACAGGACTTTGGAGCGCAGACCAAACAGCTTTGCAGTACCTGACCTCACTGCACAGAGAATCCTGTACATACTGCAAAGTTACTTCTTGTGCAGGATGGTGGTGAGCCTGTGTAGTAGCTGATTGGACATGAGTGGGTGATCTAATAAAGATACTCAACGGTGTTGTGCTTAGAAGAACTTTATTGAAAGAACTATATTAACCTAGGTAAGTAAAAAAATCACATTATGTTCTGGCACTGGGAGTCAGAATCTTCAGTCTTGGTGTCAAGCTTAGCTGCCTGCACCAGCTTGAACAGAAAGGGGTAAGGGCAGGGTCAGAATTTTTGAGGCGTCTGGATGATGGAGTGACTAAAGAATTTTGCCTGGTATTATAGGTTGTAAGTTAATAGAACCTTCTAGAATCTCCAATCTCTTACCACCTAAATAGAAATTATTTCTGTGCAGTTTTCAGTGGCCTGCTGACCCCCAAAGGGATTCCTGGCTCCACATCTTGGATGTGTCAGCTTTCCTATTTTCCTTTGGAGACAGGAGTTACCCAAGGTGGGCTGGGTGGAAGAGTAAAGCTGCCTCCCATGGCTGCAAAGGAAGAATCCCAGCAGTGCCAGTGCAAGGGGCATATGCTGCTTTTTCTGCCTCAGATCCCAGATGAGAAGAACTGGGTTAGAGTTTCTGAGGTGTGGGAGGTGAGCTGAGGTAGAGTTGGCCCAGAAAACAGACCTGAGAATCAGTTGTCTCTGCAGTTTTGGTGGGTGGTGATGCTTTGCAAACCTTTAAAGCTCAGGCAGTCAGTTCCAGATGCTGAACTCAGGGCTCGGCTCTAGCGAGGGGCTGTGACCTGCTCCTGAAGCTGAATGGCGCTGACTGCTGTCCGACCTTAACCGAGATCCCGCTCATGGTCCCGGCCTCGTTCCCTGCAGGCTCGCAGGTCTGTGGGCTGGGCGGCAGAGGGCACTCCAAAACAAGCCACCGTGCCTGGGACACAGGACAGAGCAACTGAGCAGACACAAATCTGCCGTTCCTGTAAAGCGGACAAATCTGGCAGGGAAAACCTTGCCGTGACCTTTACTTGTGACATCTGTCACGGCACACACTGAGTGCTAGAGCTAGTGACTACCTGAATATCAGATATGAAATTGCTCAAGAGCCTGGCCGTTTGTATTCCAGCATATTGTGCTGGGGAGCTTTTTGACCTTCCAAGGGACAAAAAGGAAATGCATTTTGCTGGCTCTGCACTGTTGTGTCAGATGAAGCCTTTAAATATATGAGTGTCCTCTGATATAGCAAGTGTGCAGAAATCCATGGTGCATTTACCAAAAACCCAGAGGTTTATTGTGGTAGCTCTCCTTGTTGTTATCACACTGTATTGGATGAGCAGCAGCTGTAATCAGCTCCAGAGGTGGCTACATTTGTGTTGCTGTGCATGAATATTTTTGGAAAGCTTGTTGGGGTGAAAGGTTGTGATGTAAGTTATCTGCTCTTTTTAAGATTGTGTACTTTGTAAAAATTAAAGCCTGCCCCACATAATAGTAGCTGAGCATTCTCTCTTACCTTTGAGTAACTTGCCTTGGGCTTCACTTTTGTGGCAGACCTAGTGGGTAGATGGCACAATGAAGTCTTTAAGCTTCATAGAACAAGTGGAGCTCAGGTGATAGGATGGGGGAAGAAAACAGATCCAAGAAAAGAAAACACTTTGATGCAGCTATAAAGAGTTTTTTGATTTTGGATAATTCCTTGGTCAGTTTGACTCCAGGGAAGTCATAGTTAAGTCTTCCCTGTGCTGTCTGTGACCAAGGTGGAATGGGGTGTGTGGAATCCTCTGCCATGAAGATAGCCCTGCTCTGTGTGTTACCAGGCATAAAATTCAGTGTCTCTGGAAAGATCCCAAAAGAAACCAGGGTTCTGAAAAGTGCTTTCTCCCTCTTATCCCACTTGTAAACTGGGATTTGAATTTCACTGTTTTTAGCATCAAGCCTGGCCTTTAGGCTACAGCTCTAGACAATAAAGAAAGATGCAAGTCCAGCTGTAGCTGTGGTTGTCACAGATCAGAGCTCAGAGGGACACATAAATATAGAGTAATTTCAAGCTCATTAGCTTGCAGACAGGCTAGATGAGAGGGAAGGATTAAGCTCTAGAAAAACCTTCCAAGGAAACATTTGAGCTGGATCCATGATGATAGACCTCAGGAACCTGAAAACCCGCTTCATTTCCAGGACAGTGCTGAAATTGGCCATTTTTTCTTGCCTCTCTGCTGACACTGTGATCCTTCTTCCAATTTGAACAGAGTTTTCTTTCCTTTGAGATGCAGCTCTTATCAGTTTGTGGGACAAGTGACTCAGTGCAGTGCCTGAGGTTATGGGAACAGGGATGATGGTGACTGTTTCTACTCATCAGCTGAGCCTGGAAAACCAATCATGTTAGTGTCCCTGCTTTGTCTTAGCTGAAAGGTAAAACTCATAAGCTTAAATTTCATTGAATTAAAACAAGACTAGGTTTAAGAGCAGGTACGTCAGTTCCTAGCTTCACCAAGGAGAAGGAATTCATGTTACCAGAACTGTCACACAGAATATATGGTGGGTCAAATCCCTTTAGATATGCTTGAAGTGAGACCTAAAGGCCTTGATCTCTTGCAAAAGATGTTCTGTGACTTTGGGAGCTGCTTAAGCTGCACTGTTCTTGAGTTTTTCCCCAGTATGATATAAACTGGGAATCCATAAATCAGCTGCCCTTTCTTGAGGCCTGTGCATGTGTGCCTGTGCAAGAGAGCTCTCAAAGAAATTTGAGCCCTTTTACCACTTGTATCTATTACTATGATTTTTGAGCATTATTGCAGCGTAGGTAAAAGTG